GTTTGTCCTTTTCACTGATCATTGGAAATGTTAGGTGCTCAGCTACATCAAGCTTTTGGGAATGGTTGGCTTTTTCCCTGGCGATGCTGAGCACTTTCAGGTAGCAATGTGTATTGTCGGTGTTCAGCATCTCTGAAAATGAGGGCAGATGAATTGCAAATTCCATATGTGCTAACAGGAGGTTTCCAGGTGGGATCATGTACTTCCTAACCTGAAAAGCTCTTGGCAACAGCAGCAGCTCCAAGTGATCTCTTTGGTCAGCTCTGTGAAAACAAATTAGCCCTTTTCTGGGCCAAAATATTCCTGTGCGTATAGAAAAAGTTTAACCTGTTTCTCACTGGAGCAAGGAAGAGCTCTTTCCGGCAGTATCTGCTGGAAGACATCGCTGGGGTACCAGGGGCTGTGCCAGGCTGTTGAGACACTTGACCAGCAGACAGGGAAGGGGGTTGTTCTAAGCTGTTGCTTTTGCCTGCTCTAAAGCTGGTTGGGGTTTGGTTGGTTTGTACTGATGGAGTTTCTCTGGTGTCTTAATTGCTGCATCGCCAAAGCTTTAATCGTAGTAAGAAATGCGTTGTCACCAGGGTGCCTACCTGAGCTCAGTCCTTCCCTGGTCAGCAGTTGTGAGCGGGTGCCTAAATGGCACCAATTTCAGTGGGATTTAAATTTTTATTTGGAACCCATGGCGGGAGGCTCGAGTCAGAGTATCTTAGTGACACCATTTTTCCATAATTGCCAGTATTTCTGTATCTGAAGCTATCTCACTTCATACAGCAAACATGTCCCTTTCATAATTCAGCTGCACAGATGTTGCCTCCATAGGAGCAGAGGCTGAAGCAGTTGGTTCTGCAGGTCGGTTTGTCTGTTCAGTGCTGATGAGTGCTTGTGTCCCAGGGAGAGCCTAAAATCGATATATTAACTTTGAATTCCCCAGGTTAGCATGACTGCCTGTTACTGGAGTATCTCTTCTGCAATTTCAGTAGTCCAACACTGATGATAAAAAGGGAAAACATGGCTGTTCCCCCAGGGAGAGGCTTCTCTAAAATGCAAAGTGGGCAGGGCTCTATAGCTTGTATTTTTGCTTAAGTGTACAAGGTGTAAGGTTTGAGGTGGTTGTAGTAATATTTAAGTATTTGTTACAGCTCTTTAAGGAGAGAAATTAAATCCATGTGGTTTCCAGCTCTGGTATCTCATTATCCTGTACAGACCTGGGAGGAGGTTCATTCAGGTACTAACAAAAATTATCGAAATGCTTGCCACTCTCCCCAAGACAGACCAGGATCTTGGGACACTCCATGATGGTAGGGGAGGAGGAGTTATTGGGAAGCATGTTGGATTTCTACAAAAAAGTCTCTTTCATTTAGAGCCTCAGTTTTGTGATGCAGAAACAGACTTCAGCTAAAAGTACCATTTTTAGGGGAGTGAGGTGGTCACATCTACTGTAAATAAGTGCTGGATACTGCTAATGAAATGTCTGTGGAAAACACTGGTTTCTCCTCTCCCACCTTTGCAAGCTGTTGTAGGCAATTTCATCCCTAATTAGCAAAGAGTTTGGGGGGGGGGGGTGTTTTAGTTTTTGGGTTTGTTTTAATTTTCCCTGGGCAGTTGCATTGTACCCTGCTCCCTTCAATTACAGCGACTTCTTGTTTTAAGAGTAGGAGTGGAATGTTCTGCCTGTTTATTCTTGGGAGAAGATATTTGTCTTTATGAGCTCGTAAAGCTATTAAAAGACTGCTCTGCTCAGGATTACAGACTTTAAAGTTGCTTCAAAACAAGTACCCTTGAGCTTGGGGCAGAAAGGGTATGACTGGAATTATTTTGATCATGGAGGATGCTCTGGGTAGCCGCAGAATGGTGTGGTTTGGGAAATGTTCTGAGCCAGAGGAGTCTAATGTGAGTCTGGGTTGCGAGATAACAGCAGCTTCGGGAAGGAGTTACCTGGTTCTGCTGGGGGATCTCCTGAAGGCAGGTCGTGTGCAGAGCTCGTTTCTAGATCATCTGCCTGTTGCAACAAGGCAAAGAAATGAAAGCGCCGCCTTCCTGGGGCTGCGGAGGGAGCCTGCCAGCCAGAGCCCGAAGCCGTGCCCAGGGGAGCTCAGTGGCAGGCTGCTGGTACTGTTGCTCTTTGGGACTTGCCTCCTTTCCTACCTGAGTGCCCCGTTCCCTTTGCTGCGGGGCATCCTGCAGAAGGCTCACCCAACTGTGGCCGAAGTGCTGCGGAATGACCTCCCGCGTTGTTCTGCCCGCTGCCGGCTACGCAGCGAAACTCTGTTCCTGGGCCATTTGTGACCAACTCCAACCTTGGCTGCCGAGTTGGCAAGTAACTTCTGGGTGTGCATTTATAGAGAGTACTCTACTGCTTCTTGCTGATGGTTGGTCTGCCGCTTGACCTTCTAAAATGACTCCAAAGTATCTCATCTGTATTTCTGTTCCACAGCTTACTCAGCAGCTTATTAGCTGCAAGTTATGCTCCTGTTCCCACACCCTTCCGAGCAGAAGCATCTCCCCACAAACCTAATGCTTAAAATGCAGGAAATCTTACTTAGGTGCTTACTTTCAACTTGTTTTAATTCTAATTCATTTGTCAGCTGTCTTCTGCCCCTCTACAACTCTGTTGCACACAGAAAAGAGAAGGAATTGCAGCTCTGCGCTTTAGCCCTGGTTATAACCTCGATTTTCTGTGTAACCTTGGCCAGTCGTTTTATTCCTCGGTGACCCAGGTTGCCCCCAGTCCTTACTCACGCTGGTGTAGATTGTGTAGTGTAAGTGCAAAGCACTACTTACAGACCCTGGGGACATCGTGCTGTGCTGTGCTACAACGTACAGCAGCAGCACTGGAAACCTCTGCTGATGTGAAGAGTAGCCACCTCGCGGGAGTGTCTTTGCGTGAGCGAAAAACGGCAGTGCAGTATTGCACAGACCTTCTCTCCTCCAGCTGCCTGAGGACTTAAAAGTGAGTTCAGCCGCTTTCTGCCTTTCGCTGCAAAGTCGTGTCTTGCCTGTGGCCCCTGCTGAGCTGCCCATGCGAGTGGATGAAGCTCTGACTTCTCACCTGGAGTGCTTCTGGATAAGCTGAGCTGGTAAGTGGTCGTTCTGTCAGTGACAGCGTCAAAAATATTGGTTATTGGTAAGGAACAGCTTTTCTGCAGAAACTCATGCCTTCACAACAGAGCTAACATGAGTCTATGAGCCAAGTGTCACGTAGGGAATTTCCCATCTGTGACTGCTGCCAGCAGTTCAATTTGTGTCTGTGCCACCCCATTTCTCTGTTGTCTTTGGAGTTTGTTGTGATAGAAGGCTGCCTTTTCCCTTAGGCAATATTGTCATCCTGAGTTTATGGTCTCTTTCTGGAAAGTTTCTAAAGTTCAACCTAATGATTCAGTACAGAATCGAGTAAGAGCAAACAAGGCTGAACAAAAAGTAATCCCTTGCTTAAAATAGTAAATCTGTTAAGGCAACGACTGAGCAAGTATGGGGGCAGTACATGGATTTGTAATTCAAGCAGGATTTGTTTGGAAAATTGCTGCTGCTGGGAAGAATGTCTTGGATGAGAACCCCATCGCCTTTGAGGCTGCCAGGAGAGGGCGGCAGCAGTGGCTGCACCGCGCCTGCGCAGAGTCCAGGCGCGCAGCCTGGAAAAAATGTTTCCAGGAATTGCCGTCATCAGTCCCGAAGCCAGAACTGCCTCTTTCTCCCTGTTGTGTGAATCATGTGGATGTGAAGTCACTTGTGTTTCCGGAATCCAGTTGAATTTATCACGAGATCATCACTTCTACTCACCTGCACGTGTAAATCTCAAGCTTCTCTCAAATGTCTTCCACTGATCCTCCCCCTTCCTGCTCAAGAAATGCGCTGCAGGGTTCCTGCGTGGTTTGAGGCCCTCAAAGTGCACAGGGCAAGTGCTCAGGAAAGCCAAAGCTATCAGCTCCTCTGAGGGAAGCATCCTCTCTCTCCTCCCAGCTGAACTGGGCCCAGTCCTACCTGCTGACACTTTTAGACAGGAGGAATCTGAAGCGTGGCCATGTCACTGTGAGCTGCAGGGAGCGTTACCAGTGCTGAGGTCTGAGTGAACTGGGGATGGAGAGAGTCACCTTCCCCCGGTGTGCTGCTGTTACAGAGCTCCAAAACCCCTCGGCCTCTTGAGCTCCCTCTATAAATAGCTGGGGAGGAGCGGCACGCCCCGGCAATGGGAAGGCAGGCTCTGCAGCTCCTGGTGCCAGCAGAGCACCCGTTCCTGGTCAGTGGGTGACTTATGGAGCAGAAGAGGTAAAGGGCCAGGGCGTTAACTTCTCAAGGCAGAAGGAGAGGCAGGCATGTGTAGTTCCCCCTTTTAAGTTAATAATCAATGAGTGTGTGAATGTTCTCAAAGGTTTTCTCTCTTGTGCCAACCTACAGAGGGTGTGAGTAGTTAGAGCTCACGGCTCCAAGTCTGGCTTTGTTTGAACTGAAGCGGCTCTGGAGATCCCCTTGAGCATCTGCCAAAAGGCAGTTGTCCCACTAACGCCGTTCTTTATGGCAGATGAGCTGCCAGGGATCTTTCTGCTTTACTCGCTGACCCAGTGCCTGTCCTCCTCCATTTCTCCCCCCTACTTGTAGCATGAGTCTGGCAGCCCCAGTTGTGCTCCTGCACTCAGCACAACCTCCAGCTGATGGGGCAGCGACCAGAACAGAGATGAACATTTCACATGGGGGGAGAGGAGAGGGAGAAATATAGTCCGTGCTTCAGACTGGAATGCTAAGCAGAGGAGAGCTCTGTGTTTGGGAGAGCTGCCCTGGATTAATTTGCATCTGTTTGTTCAGATGGCCCAAGCTTCTGTGTGAATGTCTTTAATGTTTAGCGTGGACCTCTTCCTGGCTGACTGCGGACCAAACGAAATATAGCAAGAAACTACAAGCACAGAGGACTTGATGTGGGTTCGGAGCGGTGCTGTCACTGAGACCAGCACAGGAAAAGCCCTTAGAGAAGAACTGATCACATCGAAAATATGTTAGCAATCTCAGAAAAAGAAACACCTTTTATTCCTGTGGGGAGTTGCTGTTTCTCTCTGACAGCAACAACTTGTGGTGAGAAAGGTCAGAAGCAGGGCAGTAATGTAACCAAAGCCGTGGGAGCAAAGCTGGCCCAACCCAAGGGAGACCCAGCCTAATTTTCCTCCCACCGCCAACGATGAGGGGACGATTCCCCTTTCGACAGTTTTCTGGAACTCAATTTCCTCCGCAAGGAGGAAAATTTGTCTCCAAGAACTTTCCGTAGCCCGGTGCTGTCCCTAGCAAAGGGCAAGTCCTTCTTCATAGCAGGCAGTTGCCCTGTAAACATTTCCCACTTAGCCAGGGTGTCCACGGTCTTGTCTACTTGAGCCAGTTCCTCCTCAGAGACGTTCCTCTCTAGGGCAGCAATGCACATCTCCAGCCACAGTTCATAATCTTTAATGGTATCTGTGGACTTGGTGGGCCCAGCAAGCTGGGGCTGGCTGTGTGCCTCTGCCAGCGAACACGAGTGCTCGTCCTGTTCCAGCTCCTGGCCGATGGAGAGGGCCTGGCTGCAAGTGTCTGGTGTCAGCGGCTCGGACAAGGAGGTGACAGCCTCGGAGTCATTCTCACAGCACATCCCAGAGTCTGAGCTGAACGGGAGGACGTCCTCCGAGGCGGACAGGTCTGATGACTCCTGCCTTGGCCACGTGGACAATACAGTCTGTGTCCAAGCGTAGAGCTTCTGCGATGAGAGGAAAAAAGGTTTCATTTTAGAAAACGAGCGAGAACAGTTACACGTTTCCCAGTGTTTGCCAGGTGAACCGATTCATCTTGGGTGGCTCAGCTTCAGGTGCTATGGTCCTCTCTGCCAGAAGATGGGTTCAGACAACTCACGGTTACCCTACAAAGCAGGGGCTTTCTCTTGTCCCTTTTTCTTGGAGTCACATGTGGACTGTGTCTGCCCTGTTATTGAAGGTGGTAGGAGAAAACGGCACAAAATCACTCCCTGCTGTGTGGATGTGATCTCCATGAGAGACAAACCAGTGCCTCTCCAGAGGAAGCTGTGTCATTATAAAAGCTCCTGAGATAGTGGTGAGGAATCTTGTTTCATCATGTTGTTAACTCCTGTGGTAACATGCATTTTATTCCTAAGAATAACTCTTCCCCTCTCGAGCTGAAATGCCCAAGTGGGAAGGCTGGGCTCCAGGAAAGAATTAATGAAAGGAAAATGTCTGAGACAATTTCCTCTTTAAATATTAAATGCTACAATGGGGCATATAACGGGTTGCTTCTGGCACATTTATTCCTTAGGCTTTGGGGAATGAATCACGGTACTCCAGTCATCGCTGGATAAAGGTGATCTCCTTGTCTGCCTTGTCATATTTTGGGGGGTTTTGTGTGTTTTTCAGCTGTTTCACATCCTTGTGGCCTATTTCTTCATCTTTACTTTCTGCAGCTCCCAGCTGATACCTTTGCAAAGCCTTGCGATTGCTTTGGGAAACACAAGGGTGACAGAGCACCAACCTGAGACGCCGGTCACTGTGCTGGGCCCGTACGTGCTCAGCTCGGGGTGAGCTGTGGTGTTTGAGAAGCGGGCAGGAGGTTTCCAGCCCCGCAGAGCTCCCTTCGCCCGCAGTGCCCCGCTGCTCCCCCCGTCCCTCCTCTATTGCTCTCTCTTCAGGCAAGCGACAGAAAGGATAAAGAGCTCAAATTGAGTGGGTGGGAGAAATCGGCCCCATTTCTCATTTCAGTCTGTGCAAGAAGCCTCAGGGAAGAATTTCATACAAGAATAAAATGGACTCTTTCAGCTAAGTTAATCCACCCTGCCCCCTCCCTCTGGGGCAAGAAAAAATGTAAAGGGACAACTTTCCTCCTGCCTCATCCCACCTCTAATAGCCCTTCCCTCCCTCTGGGTTTAAAAAACAAAGAAAGGACCAGAAGCTGCAATAGGAGCCAGACTAGTGCAGGGGACAGCAAAGCTATCTGAAAGCTGCAACCAGCCCATGATTTTATAATGTCTCTTAAAACTCCCAGGAGTGGTGAATCTGGGAAGGAATCACAACTGCTACTTAGCACAATTCCCAAGAAGAGAAAAAGCTGATGAGATGAGGATGTTCAAAGAGCGTATCTGGATTATTTAAGGCAAAAGGAGGGGATGATTGACTCAAGTTTTCTACCAAAGCCTCAAAATCTTGCCTGCCTCTCACTCTCTGGGTGGATTATTGATTCAAGTTTGGGAAGGGCAAACCTCTAACAGCAGCTTAGAGCACTGTTTTCTTTGCAGTGCAGCCACTGCAAGCTAACGTAGGCGCTACGTGCAGAACAGCCTGGGACGCTGCAGAAGCAGCAGGTGGAAATGTTGGTTATGGTGGGGAAACACCATGAGAATGGATTTGTTTTCAGTTTTCAAGATGACTCATGCTGAATAAGCAGCTGTGATGAAAAAAAAAGTGGAGTATGTTTGAGTGCAACTCATAAATAAATTGAGGGGCTCTTCCTCCTGCATAAGGACTGGTTTCCTGTCCCACGTGCTCTTCTGCCCGTAACTGTGTCTCAGGCACGGACTCCAGCAGCATTACCTGCTCCTGGCGAGGCACAGCTTTGTGTCTGGCATTTCCTGTATTTATTACGAGTGTCTGGGGCTGTTATGTGGCAGGTGGGGATCAGTGCTTGTTTTCCAAAGGGAAATGTGACTTCAGGCTTGCACTTCACCAGCCAGCTCAAAACATGCTTAGCAAGTAACTTTGCTGTCTGATATTGTCTCTACATGCTTTGTGCTCTCTTCTGTCAGCTTCCTTAACTATTTAATTCATCTCTGACATTTATATTTCCTCCCAATGCTATAGCAAAGCCTCTTACAGAGATTATCACAAGTCTTATACCCGCTTGTACCATATCTAGCTGAGCTTTTCCTTGTCAAGGAAGCAGAGGTGACATTTGGCAAGTGTATCCTCTCTTCAGGTTTGTGTTTGCTGTTGCCAGGGGATGCTGAGCCAATGACAGTATTTACTGGAGGTGTAAAGGCAAAAATGTTTCTAGAAAAGTTTAATGCAGATGGCAGTTCTCTTCTGGAAAGCAATAGCTGAATGCTGACAGGCTGGAGGTTTAAATAAACCAGAATTTATTCCTGTGGTAATCCGGGCAATTAAGGCATCTCTCTGACAGAAGCAGGGACCCAACAGCCACGGAGTCAGACTCGGGTCTAACACCACCGCAGAAGTGCAGACAAGCAGCAAAACCACACAAATGTTTGGGGTTTTTTTTTCCCCCACACACCCTTTGCTGTGCTTCTGTGTGTCTGATTCCAAGCTGAATGAAACGAGAGGCATCCCTGTTCTCGTTCTGCACGTATCTTGTTACAAATATAACCCACGGACTTTAAAATAGGCAGCCGTGGAAAATCCTGTCTCTGAACATGATGTGTGTCAGACAGGAATAATAACCAGGGAGAAGACAGAGTGCCGAGTGAGAATGATGACATTATTTCTATTCCACCAGCCGTTTGGCTACTGAATCCTGCTTTTTAGACAGCAAAGGTAGAAAACCCTTTCTAGAGCTAAGGGTGTCCTAGCATTGTTCCCAATGTGGTGTCAGCAGTTTTATGGGTGGGGGAGAAAAGACAAAAGATGAGTCTAGGACCCTCCACTTCTTAGAGGGTAATAATTCAGTATCCTTTCTCATATCTTTAAACAGAGGAACTGCAGCGAGGTACGCGCTTAATACTTTGTCCCCGTTACCAGCAGCCCCGGAGAGGCAGAAACCACGGTGGCACGTAGGAAAGGGCATCAATGTGCGAATCGCTGCGCTCGCTGCTGCTCTGGCTTGAAATCTGCCTGCCCTCCCCACCTCATTTTCAGCAGTAGCAAAATGTGGTCGCGCTGTTGCACCATCCCTTGTTGTGAACGGCCACAAGCCCTAGAGCTTGTGGAAAGTGCTATGTTAGTCCCAGACCATGTGCACAACACCCCCTCGTTCAGGTGTAAGCTTTCTCTCTTAGCACCTTGCACTGAGAGCATCTGCCTTGAACAGGCTGCCACGGGACATTTAATGTTGTGGTTTGCTGGGGTGACCCTCTGCTCCCTGCTCTGTCCCCTTGCTCCAGGAAGGGCTGATGGATCTGTCTCTCACCCTGTAGCGCTCGATGAGTTTGAAGCCGATGACGTGCTGCAGCTTCCGAAGGCAGATGGGACACGGCTCCAGGGGCCTCAGCAGCGCTTCGTCCAGGCTCAGGGCGCCCTGCATGATGCACTGCAGCCAGCGGCAGGTCCCC